AGATTAGCGAAAGAAATAACGAATGTACGATTTTAAAGTAAATTTTGAAAAGAGATCATTTGACCCCGCTTAGGTACGTTTAGTGTTAAATACGTTAAATGAAACACATAAATTACAATCAAATAATTTGAAGTGCATGTAATTTAAAGTATGTGTATTTACTCTTGAACACATTTTGTTTTTCTATTACGGAAAGTGTACGTACAGTACAAATTAGAATTAAATACTCAAACTTTTAGTAAAGTTATTAGAGTTGTCTATAACGATATTATTTGATAGTTAATTTTTCCAAGAATCGTTATTTAGATTGATTATGGATTATAATAAATTTGTTAGAAATTTCATAGAATCCACAAACTGTGAAAACTAATTTATAAAGCAATTTCTTACTATTCTTTGCATAAATTTGCACAAATTTGACAGTAGTTTTAATGTTAGAATATATCTCCATAGTAATGTGAGTATTATACTATTTGAAAGTATCTAACAATTTTAAAATCTTGGAAAGTTGCACATATTGTTGCATTTAATACAATTCAATTCGCAAACACGGAAAATTTCAATGTTTTCAGATACCTTCGAATACCTATTTGTTTTTTTCGAATGTACTCGATGAGAAGCTTTTTACCAGGATTAGTAAAGCATCAACAGTTATTCTTCCCATTGTTCAAACTCTCTTACACCGGATCCACTCTCGTATTACCAAAGCACCGTGTGCACCGGTAGCTTTTGATTTAAGACGGCGGCGAACATGTCGCCCGGTCCCGCTACTTCCGGTTCGACGTCCGATAACTCGATCGTAAATTTCGCCGGCGAGTCACCCTCGCGCGAATTCGCAGCTCGCAATGCGACACGTACGCGCGTATGATCGCCAAATTACGTATTCAGCTCGGTTCTGTTTTCTTCTGTTCTGTGTTTGTCGGTCTGTCTCGACCCGCCCGGAAATTACTCTCGTTCTCTACGTGGCACGACACTTTTTCCTTACGATACGTGCGAACTTATCCTGCCATTAAGCATAGAATGGATGCTCGCGGAATTTTGTGCCACGAAGTTGCGTCAATGTATCACAGACTAACAATAAGTACACGTAAAAGCGAAGATGACAGAGAAAGAGAGAGAGAGAGAGATATGACTGAGAGCTTGGAAGAATTTAGAATCTTGGTATTTTTTGTGCTTGAAATAATTAGACTGCGAATAAAAATATTTAATATATTATTTTCATTGTCGCATCGTTTCTTGACTTGTAAACGACTGGTAGAAAAGAGGAAGATTTAATAACTGAGAATTATCAAATTCAACACGGTG